CCCCCCCCCCCCAAATATATCAATCTTGCCAATGCAGAACAAGTTGGGAACATGCATTAGCCATGCCTTCATGACCTAATGCCAACATTAGAGGCATTATGACCTTTCAAAAGAGCTCTACTAGGATCCTTTGGAAAGGGAACTGCTGCAGGTTAAGCAAATTTGGAAAACTTGTCCCCCCAAAATGACAAAACAAACATAATATGATGCATATTATGAATTATTGTGGCTCTGGAAGAACAAGGGGTCAAATAGATATGCTCTGCATATTGTTACCTTTAAAAATATATATATAAACCTAAGCAATTAAAATCAGCATAAAAGCAGCAGATAACCTCATTAGTGGAAATATCTTACAATTACCTTGAATAGACTGGGCACAATAGATTTGTAAATGCTTAGGCTGATCTCTCAAAATAATCCATCAGCAACAGAAAATGTTACTGCAATCATTTGCCATTTCTTCCAATTGCTATTGCTGAAAGATCACATTTGAGTTCTCAAGGGGGCAAAAAAGGCATAGGTTTCACTAATATACCTGAACTGTTGTTTTTCACAAGAGCATCAACCATAAGCCTATCAAGCAAAAAACAAACTGAACAATTTACATGAAATATTTTCCAGTTTCCTCAAGATTTAAGCAGAAGCCAAGGAAGAAAGAGTCTTACCTCTAAATATGCAATGCATTTAATAAAGGGACTCTTGATATCTATACAATAGCAGTAAGCATTGCAATAAAATGCCATCTGTGGCTATATGCATTAGGCAGCAAAATTAAAAAATGGAGGTGGGAGAAGTCTCATCTTCTAGAAAGAGCTAAACACCCAAGTGAAAATATGCATCTCAGGTGTGAGATTAGCCCATTCCTGCTGTCAGTCTAAATTACACAGCTGACTTCAGTTCACTTGCATTCTCAAGTCTGTGTAGTTACAGGTCTTAGCCAACCTCAAAATTATTTATCTTTTAATAATTTATCCCCTCTAACTCATTTCTGTTATTTCTAGTTTACTTTGGGCAGTTGTCAGCACATTGCAGATTCCTCCCTATAGTCAGCTCCCCATTTGTTTTTGTGGCTTTCTTCTACGCAACAGAAGATGGGTCTATTTATTTACAGGTGATTTTTTTTTTCTCTCTCAGAGGAGTATAACAAAAGGCCGTGGAGGAATCCTGACAGATATGTTGTGCACAAAACCAGTTTCAGCTCATTTTGAACATAAACACTTAGCTGCAGAAGTATTCAAGTGAGCTGGGAGTTTTCCCCTTTGCATAATCCCTAATATTCCTAGGGGTACTTACCTTCCAATTATATGAATGCTACCTTTCTAAGTAATATTCGGTCATGATATTGAGGCTTGCAGCGATGACTTAATACATGACATTTTCTGTTTGGTAAAGTAATTTTTGCTAAAGAAATTAAGTTATACAATGAAAAAGGCAGCTGAGAGAGTTTGAACTTCAGGGGCGGAGGGGGAAAGATTCTTGGAGTTGAACCCAAGTAGGAGAAATGTCATTCTCCAATAGATGAATTAATAAATAAATACATACATGAATTTAGAAGAGACTGAGAACAGGAGTCAGAATGGAAGTACCTTTTAAAGTATAACTACACAAAATGGTGCTTGAGGCTATACATTTTTGTGTATATTTTTTAATATATTTGTGTATGCACAATAATACAGCTGGGAGAGAGTGATTTTTAGTATCAAAATTAAACGCTGTTTAATTAACATCCTGTGATCCATTTAAGAATAAAATGGAACAGACAACTTAAAATAGCCAGAAGGAACTGGTCCAACAGTTAATTTAGAGAGTTGCTAAAGACCCGATTATCAAATGTCTGACATTTTCCCCTGATAAGCCTAAGAATATTTCCTGGGAATGTGCTAACAATGGGCATTTCCGATTTTAAGCACCAGTTACTACATCTAGTGGCTGTTAGTGTCTTAGGTCACGCCTTGCAAATTCCAGGGTTATTAATGCATTTGTGATTTATTAGAAACGGTGTCTAGAGCACTTACTCATTCTTGGTTGCATCTGAATGAAAAAGGAAAAAAAAAATATAGGATTATAGACCAACGTCAGTGAACCTTAGTTTGGCAAACGTAAAACGTTATTAGTAACTTGGCAAAGCGAGACATGTTAAATGATGAATAAAATTTGTCTAGAAATGATTAGGAAGCAACAAGAGTGGAATATTTGCTGCGTCACAAGTTTGGAAGGATATTAGGGCTAATAACACAAATGGAAGTGAATAATAAGGTATAAAAAAAATGACTTGCAAATCTTCATCACAAAGCAAAGCCATGCAAGCCAGTTTTGTTAATTCCAAACACTTAAAAAACAAAACAAAAAACTAACCCCAAAATCCTGATTTCTAAGATAGACACCTCAATTCCAGGGGTTAATTATGTCAGTGAGTGAGTTTAAAGACAGACACATGTTGCTTTTTCAGAGTTGCCTTTTCTATTAAGTCAAAGAAAATTACGCTCCTTATATTGAATGCACCAAATTCTTCCTGACTGCTTCTGTATTTACCTACACGTTCCTGTTCCAGTTTTAAGAGGTTTAACCATTTTCACTGATAGTGGAGGCAGCTCTCTCTCAAGATTATTATGTAGCCCTCCCTCCCACCCGTTCCTGAAGTTGAGTCAGAGGTTTAGTTTGATATATTCCACAATATTTTACTTCCAGACTTAATTTTAATATAGTCTAAAAGCAGGAGAGGCCCAACTTCTTTTAAAAGAATACAGTCTACCTTATATCTGTGAGCACAATTGAGATCAGAGACAAGAGAAACAATGAGTTTTTAGAGCTCTTTAAAATGAATGGAGCAGAGGTTCCCTACTTACTTCCATAAAATGCGTTTTTTCTAGGCACCCTGCCTAGTGCCAACCTGCCGAGCTTCCTTCCCTTCAAAGTGTGTGGGAAACAGTTTGAGAAATACAACCACCAACCACTTTGGAAAAAGGGCACTTACGAAACAAAGGTCACATTGTCCTCGCTAATTGTTAGTGATACTTTTACTGTGTTATTATGACCTGCCTGTATTCCTTTCGGATGAACTGTACTCTCCAGGATGGCACCACACACACAGAGTCAGGGCACGTCCAGACAAGTGTACATGTGCGGTAGGCGGTGCTGCAGACTAGGGGTGTGTGAAGTGGGCCCTATTCGATTCGGATTCGGCCTGAATTGGGGACAGCAATTTGATTAGTTGATTCGGATCACTGCCCCCGATTCAATTCGGCCAAATCCAAATCTGAAGATTCGATGCCAATTTGGAGAATCAGTGATTTGGACATAGACACAGCTTTAAATGTTTTTTCTACATACCTTGAGGTACCAGCGCGGCTTGTGAGTGCTGTGATGCAGAAGTGGACTGGAAGTAGTAGGTCTGCCACGGAGCATGCTGGGGGCCCTCCCCACACCTACCTGGCTTGGCAATTGGCCGCAGGAGGCCACCAGGTGCCCCCCCTCCCAGACCTGGGAGGCACCAGTTGCCGAGCCAGGGAAGGGTGCAGGGGAGCACCCCCGTGCACTCCCTGGCAGACCCGGAAATTTGATTTGGCCAAATCTCTGATTTGATCTGGAGATTTGGCCACTGAATCAGCCAGAATCTCTGCTGAATCCAATCATGGATCGAAGCTTTGCACAGCCCTACTGCAGACCCATCTGTGGTGCCACACATGGCACATGCTGCACATGCAGGCATTCCCCAAGCTGCTAATTTGCAGCACAGGTGGGGGTTTTTGATGCTGGGAGATCCTGGCGTAAAAAAACCTGCACTAGAAAATGTGGGATGGTGCATGTGGCAGGAGTGCATGCCAACCGAAATGAGAGCCTGACTGGCCAGAGTCAAGCTCCGGTTGCCAACCAGGCTTTCTGTTGCCGTATTGCCA